ACTGGCTTTTTAATTTCTAAGGCTGGCTTGTGTTGCTCCTGCGGACTTAGTGTTTCAGTTGTTGGAGATTCTTGTCCTTCTTTTTCAGAATCCCTGCTTATTACTACAGCTTCAAATCTCTCTTCTACTAAGTCTTCTTGTAAGGCTTGTGGCTGCACCTCATGAAGAGAAACATATGTTTTTAAATCCTCTGTAAGGTAATCTACCATTCCTGTCATGTCTGGCTTCTCCATTTTTGTTGTCCCTTTGTCTACCCTGACTTCCACACAGGTAGGTTCAGTGACTTCTAAAGGAGCATTTCTCCTGGCCTCTTCAATTTCTTCATCACTGACAATGACCCATTCTTCTTCTACAAGTTCTTGTTTGGAAGGGGACTTCTGCAAGACATGTTCTTCTCTGGCACAGGATCCACCTCTCAGAATTTCATTTACTTTTTCTAAGTCTTCTTTCACTCTTTCAACTATTTCAAAAGGCTCTCCTGGCTCTTCTTCAGTGGGTTTTCCAAGATCTTTCACTTTAATGGAGCCTGATTTATCAGAAGGGTCAGTTGTCAAGATGGCAGTCATTTTGATCAAATCTTGTTTCATCTCAGAAACTTCAGACAACAGGTCTGGACTGGCTAGTACAGGGACTTCATTAACCAGATGGCTTTTCAGGATAGATGTTTCTGTAGATTCTGTCTCGTCATCTTTGATGCGAATGAAAAACATTGAAAGTAAAATGGAAATCAAAAATAGAGATTGGAAAATGTAATCAGGACTGAAAATGACAGTCTTTGGTTGCAGTGGTAGGAAGGTCAACAAAATGGGCCGGGAATGGTGGATCCACAAGATCTGAGGGTACAAGAGCAAAGAGGGGAGGGGGGGGGGGGGGGGGGGAGAAACCAACTGAAAAGGAAAATGGCAGGAAATAACTTGCTTAACTTTATCAATATGGCACAACCACACATACATTGTCAAAGCTGTAACAAACCAAATCAGGACACCACTAAAAAAAAAACCAAAACAACAACAACAAAATTTAAAATTAAAATCAGAAGAAACACAGTGAAGTTACACAAAGATAGGCATCTCAAGATTGTTCAGATGTTACAGATCAATGTTCAAATAAAAATAAACAAGAAAGAAGGGGGAAAGCATTAGAACTGATTGAAAGTCGATTTCCTCTAAGAGAAAGCCAGTGTTAGCAAACTGTCAGAGTAACATTGCGTTAACATTTTTTTTTCTTAATGACCAAAATAAAAAGTTAAAAGTAGTTCTGCAGTAATCTAAGATATGATCAGATATGAAGAGATCTGAATCAGCTGCAAACCGGCATTTCATCTAAGGGGATTTCACACCTAAACAATGAAACAAACATTCTTTTGTTTTAAGAGGCATGGTCCTTTCCTTGGAACATCCTCATTGACAACTAATGAATTGACTGAGGAAAGAGAAGACAGAGAAGAAAAGGAGAGATAATAAGAAAAAACTGTGAATCAACTTAGAAGTGATTTCAAAGTTTTCAAAAATGTAATGTATGGCAACCAAAAATCAGAGACAGTCACACTAGACACATACATACAATTCATGTAAGGCAAGTTATTTCCATGCAAAGCAAAGGTGTTGCAAACGCTGCTGGGTATGTAGCTTCAGTTAAAAAACAACAGCTCTAAAAATTAATCATATAAATTAAAGATACATGAAAATATCGTGAAACATACTGTGGTGAAATATTTGCCTAATCTGTGCAATCAATATACAGTAAGCTGGATGTAGGTAATTCCCATTATGCCATAACTGCCTGCTGGGAATATTTAATTTCATGAAGGACTACTAGAAAATGTATATTGAACAGGATGAAACATTGAAGGACTGAAGCAAGTTATGAACAGAATGCAATGCTTAGAAATTATAATTGTACATTTTTCTTCTAAAAGGTAGTACATCACATAAAACTTGACACATTTCTGCACCCCAGTCTAAAAGTAGTAATGCAAGTAAGGAGAACCTAGGCAATACATAATTATCTGTAATTCTCTGTAAAAAAAAATCCATTTTGCTACACCATTCTCTTGTGCGTAATGAATGCTAAATGTTTGTGCTGTACATTAATTATAACCAGATTGCTGGGGGTGATTTTGGTGCTGAAAATTTGGTGCTTTGGTGCTGCTGTTTTTCGTGTGAACTGCCCAGTGCGTACTGAAATGCTATCTAGTAATTCTGTAGATTTGTAATACATATTTTCATAAATGTGAAATGGATGACTATCTCACTGGCCAGAGTCAAATCAATTCGCCTGAAGCAAAGAAGCTCCAGTGGGAAGAAAAACGCAAGTACTATCCGAACGGTGCGTGGCTGGTAGCAAGAATGCGTGCTGGGGTTCTCTGTGGCCTAGCTAGTTAGCAGAGCGAGGAAGCTGTGGTAGAATTACTACTTGAGAAAAATAAGAGAACTCCTAAACTGTCAGGAATGGTCAACAGCTGTCAGTAAATGCAGCTGGCAGAGTGCAGGACAAGGACCTTTTAGGATAGGCAGTGTAGTCATTAACATCCCAGATCAGTACTCTTCCCTGCCACGTTACAAGCTTTTGGCAATGACATGGTTGGCCTCCCTCACGCCAGCACTGAAGCGTTTCTAGCTTGTATCACAAAGCTGTTCGTTCTGCCAAGGAAGGTGAGTGTAGCACAACTGTCTCGGTGGCTGTTCTGTCTCTCAATGTAACTTTGAAAACTAAAGTGTAAATGTTTTGTTTCTAAGAATAATTATTTAGATTAAGTAGAACAGCTGAAACAGAAGACGCTGATAAAATCTCTCAGTTTATTATAGTGTTCTGGGGGTTTTGTTGTTTGATTTTATCACTTGTTTCTTTTCTCAGTGGGAAATTGTTTTGGATTCAGCAGCGTGGATCTTGAAACTAAACACCTCTGATCACTAAGCTCTTCTGGGTCATGTTCTTGGCTTGCCCTCATTCTTTTGGATTCTTCTCATGAGAGCTGTTTACTTTACTCTTCAGCAGAGCAGGAAGGAACTGATGCTATGGCCAAATGGTAAAGCCTCTAACACACTTTTCAGAAACACCAGTTCTAATCCTGGTTCTGGCTGAGACCTTTAAGGTCTATTCATGAAGGTGAATTTGGCAGTATTTTGACACGGGTGAGATTTTCTGCGTCGTCTCATAGATCCACTTCCCTTTATGTAAATAATTATTCCCAACCCAAGGACATGCACATGTGAGTCCTAGTTCTTACTGAACAGTACAACTACTGGGCCAAAAAATTAGTCACTTCCATATTACCTCATTGCAATTAAAAGTTATTTTAACTAAAGAAGACCATTAGCAGAAGTACAAGGGAACTGGGCTAACTGCCTGAAAAGAAGTTGCTTGGTTGTAAGTATGTTTTCCAGCAATTTGGATATCACGATGTGAGCCATCTCAGTGGTCTTCAAGCAGGCACTTGTTGGTCTTTTTCGTGTTTGTTAATTATACTTCTAATGATTCCTGGGAACAGTATTTCTCTCTCACTCTCCTGCTTGCAGCTGTTCTACCTAATTCTCAAACTAATTCTCCATGAAGCCAAAGGAAGAAGTAGCAAAACTAAATTGCTATCTGACTGGTATTTTCGTCCATCCAGTACGACAGTCACCAAAAATTCTAGCTCTATGCTATGTTGAAGTTAGATGAGTCTGTGACGGCCGCAACTGAGCAACCTCACCAAACCTGCATCCCGCCACCTTCCTTAGGGTGGGTGTACTGCACTGAGTAAATAATTATGTGGCAAGGGGAGCATTCAAGCCCTTTTTCACCTGTATGTTTTACTGTTCTGTTGAATTCACCTCCCATTTCCCATGGCCAAGGCGAGTCAACTGAAATTCCACTCTGCTGGCTATAGTATGGTGTGTCTTCTCCACCTTGATGAAATTGGTCATCCTGGTGTAAATAATAATGAATTAGAGCAAAAAGCTGCTACTAATCATGTTGTTAATCATGGTGAATACTATTTCCCACCATGTTATTAGCTATTTTGTCACCGTGTTTTTAGTTATTTTGTCACCCTTTTGTCTTTTATTCTCTAGATGAAGCATTTCTGCTTTAGACAAAGGAGGTTATAGGGGAATGATCATCCATTTGATCTTCAGGAGCATGGTGCTGTTGTCTTTCCAATTAAAACATGTACCTAGTACATCAAGAATAAATAACCCTCAAAATGCAATGCAGATAAGAAGGCAAGACATTGCACTTTAAACTGTAAACAAGACAGAAGTCATTCTTTTCCTAAACAGATTTAAGAAATCACTGCATTTGAAAACAGTTCTTATTAGAGATACTTTTCAGACTGAATGTATATTTGTTTGATTTGCATCTTCATTAAAGGAGATCTTTGGCATTGTGAACCACTCACCCTCAGTTTCTAATAATAATGGCCTGATTCTGGGTATACAAAGGGTATATATGCTGTACCAAGCTTAACAGTCATGTTTCCAGTCATATTTCACCACAGTAAAGGGGGGGCGGGGGG